CAACAAGTACTACTACTTATTATTATTTTACTACGTCTTCTTCTTCTACTTCTTTTTTACTTTATATTTAATAAAACTACTACTACTACTACTACTACTACTACTACTACTACTACTACTATACGACTACTACTATACTACTACTACTACTACTACTACTCATTGCTGATTACTAATTACTAAATACTACATACTAATTTCTAAGTACTGCTACTGCTACTGCCACTTGTGCTAGAAAGCCGAAACTCCCGCGCCAGGCTTTGGGGCTGCGAGGGCTCGCCCTTCGTGCGACTGGTGCGGGAGGCGCTATGCTGCCTCGAACTGCCTCCTGGCTTTAAGACTTGCGGCTCGTGTGGATTCGAACTGAAGGTTCAGGATTTAGGCAGCTTTTAGTTTGGGTTCGGGAAGGTTAGGTTTAGAGTTCCATGGAGCTCGGCTGAGCCCGCAAAGGCCCTCGAGCTACAGCGGTAGCAGTTCTTCTGTTTCGCAAAGGCCCTACGTCCTGCGGAATGTGCCGCATGGAGAGGTGGCTTTGTTTGAACAGCAGTGTATTAGCGGTTTCTGATGTTGGGTTGTGGTCTTCGAGTGATCGAAGCAGCTCCACATATGCTCAACCACAAGGCTTAGATTTTTAGATATATTCAGTTTAGGGCTTGTAGGGTTCATCAACCCTGAACATCGCAACGGTTGATCTCATTTCTCCATCCCTCAACCCTAAACCAGAGGCCTCATTGTCGACTTGTCACTACCTAAATCGTTCACGGTGGCGGGTATGGGGCCTGAGACCAGTTCACCCTATACTGAAGCGTTGCACTTGTGTAAATACCGGCGGAAACGAAAGCAAGCAAGCCAATGTGCATAATAAACATATGTGTGTGTAGGCATTTATGTATACGTATATATATATATATATATACACATAGAGAGAGAGATACACATCTGTATCAGTATAGACTTACATGTATACATATGTACACAGGTGTACAGATATGTACACACATACACATTGCATGTACGTATGTGTGTTGCATATAAGTAAGTGAGTAAGCAAGCACCGAGTAAGTATGTATGTGTTTATGTGTATGCATGCAGGAATGTATGTAATGTAATGTAATGCAAAGCATGCAATGTAATTAACGTAGCGTAATGTGTATGTGTATGTGGACGTGTTTGTGTTTGTGTTTGTGTTTGAATTTGTATGTGTGCATGCATGTATGCATGCATGCATGCATGCATGGATGGATGGAAAGATAGATGGATGTATGTGTGTATGTATGTA